AGTCACAGTGCAAATATTTTTTTAATGGAATCAACACATTTCGTTTGACAATTTAGAAGAGTTTGAAACATTCTCGAAATACAAATGCTGCAGACTAAAAACAAACACAAATAATTATTGTTGCAATTTAATTGTATTGTAAAACGTTGAATGAAACGCATTCAAAACGTTAAGCCAGAGTTATGTTCACTAATCTCATAATTTTATTCACTCCATAAACATTCTCCTTCAAAAAATCGATCACGTAATTAATTGGCGTATTGTTGTAATTTATTATTCGTACCATCAACTTCTAAAACGTTTACATTTACAGTAATTAGCAAACAAATGAAAACGATCATCAAAGTTACGACGTGACATAACTTACATGGCGATGTTATACACCGGTTATAGCAATAATTCCTCAAAAAATGTTACTTCTTTTTTTTTGATATGAAATGTAAGTAAAATCCGACTTATTTTTATCGGGAGGCGAGCGATTATTTTTGATCACTCGATCGCTTCAGTAAAAAAAAACAGACCCGCCATAATGTTTGTGAAACATTAGCATGTGTCCTTTGACCCGATGGGTCAAGCATGCCAATAACCAATCAAAATGCTGCATGGTAATGTCGGTAGAATCCAAAGTTTTCCGAATGGTAGTGATCATAAAAATTACATTGCAGAAGTTAAGCGATGTCGTAGCACGATGTGTTGGCATCGATTTCAATTGAAAACTGCATGATGGCTTTCGAAAGAGGTGATTTGCAATTTTTAAAAGATAAAATATGTCTTGAAAGAAGAGTTTTTACATGATTCGCGATGATAACAGTTCAAATGTATTTTACCAAATCACGCAATAAACACATTTTTTTCTTGAGTAGCGTGAACTGATCGTGAACTCCGCTTTGACCATGTTATATTGAGGTGGAATTGATTTTGAAAGAATTTTAGCCTTCAATCTAAAGACTGTGTCTATCGCAGAAAGTAGTTACTTACAAACAAAGAGGTGCTAATTTCACAAATGTGACTAGCCGCTGCGTATCGTGCGACTAGGTCTATTGTTTACAAATTATAATCTACGACTGGCAGGATGTGTGTCGGTCGGTAAATAATTATAATAACAATCGGACAATAGTCCTGGTCGGGAACGTTTCCGTGGTGGTCACGGTCGGGGCTGACCAGCATAGCGAACAAAGCTTTTGCACATCTGATATTGGCATGTCAAATATGAAATCAAGCGCCGAGGTGGGAACAAATAGCGTCGAGGTCCCAAGTAAAGCCCTGGGGAGAACCCTGACTACATGTACCACATGCTGCCCATACAATATAGAGTAAAAAGTGAGTTTATGGCATAGTGTTAAATTAATGTATCCAGATTATATAAAACATTATTTGGTATCAGACAAGCTCATAGCCTAACATGTAGGTGTGAGTGGCGCCCTCACAGGCTGAACTGCATCAGAACTTACTAACGCCTGACAGAATGGTGTATGTCTCGTTGACAAGATCAATACTGTGAATTCGCAAAGTTCACGCCTTCTTGCAATGAGTTTCAATGAATATTTGTTTTGGTTGTCGTGGCAACACAGCGCGGAAGGTGCAACTCGCGCAACCTTGTCAGGCTACAACAGACTGTTCCTTTCCTGTGCAGACACTCACTCGTAACCAGGGAGACAAAACCATTTTTGCTTTATCGGCAAAAATTGCAGACTGTTTTCAACAATGATAAACATTCAGCGGAAACTTGCCAGCACCTTATCACATATTACCGTATGTCAACAAATCAACTCTGCCGTGAATGGTTACTGTCACTATCTGACAGTCCCGCAATTTCATTGGTACTGACAAAAAATCATTGGGGAAAGTGCAAAACTACACCATACATTTATCCATTCATGATTTCATCATTGCCAGGGAGAAAAAGAAATCCGATACAAAGAAGTCCTCCACAGAAACGGAAAAATCAGGTATTAAAGACACTAAGAGTAAAGCGAAGACAAAGTCAGTAGATGGTGATAAAACCTCAAAGGGGAAGAAAGTGAGTGACGTCCAGCATCCTGAAGTGAGCAGTACTACTCTTTCCACTGCAGTGAGTACGAATAAAGATGTCCACGGCAAGAAGTATTTGGTTCAACCTGGTGGCAAGTGGTTGGATGAATCTGTAAGTATGCAATTATTGTGATGGTGTACGTCAATCACTCGGCTCTCTCCTCCCAGAGTGTACATGTTGAATGCATAAGTAGAATATATAATTATTTAATTTCCGTGTACATACAAAATGATGTACATGTTGACTGTCAGACTTCGCAAACTACACAACAAGTCGCTGATATTGTCTAGAAAATATTTCTCAAGCGAGATATTTGAATGATTCATACTTTTTTCAACACATTGTACTTGCTACATAAATTAATGATGTTCATTTGTTTCAGTTTGAAAATGACCCTGTTGTTAGCACTGACATCAGTTCACAGCTTGTTGAAAAATACAGAGTGATGGCAGAGAAACTATTCCACAATGATGTATCACTCTATACCGAAAGTATGTACTCATCATAAACAGTGTGTCTAATGTTTGTACAATTTATAGTAGTAATAAACTGATATTAATTGTACTAATTGCATCATGAGAGGTGTAATTTGATTGGCTCATTCATACACTATGTATACAAACGTTAACATAGGTGTCAATCCTGTGTGCTAACTTATCATGTACAGTGTTGTCTGTTTTGAAATTATGTATCATCACAAAATTATCATTCACTAAGTTTAATGTTACATGATCTTAGCATGTGCCGAAATTGTTATTTTTTACCAAATACCACTTTTGCTCCATGAAAGAGGAGAGTGTCAACAGTCCCTCAGGCCTAATTCGTCCATATGAATAAAATTAAACTAAAGATGTCTTCTGCAAATTTTACTACAGCATCGTTCCGCAGGTATAATTATTATCAAGGCTGAACCTGTAAGCTACAACAGTCACACAGGCTTTCCAAATTGGTTCATGTGTGCATCTATTTGAGATGTCCTTGATATATAGAAAATAAAATACTGTCATTTCTAATTCATGTTACAGAGAAATCTGAAGACACGAGTGGCAGCAGTGCGTGGATTCAGACTGTCATTTCGTCGGGTACGCTGGGTGATAAGATAGCTGCACTGTCCAGTATGGTACAAAACTCACCGATACACAATGCACCTAAACTCGACACTATGATTAATATGTGTAAAAAGAAAGGAAGGCGTGAGGCACTGATGGCGATGGAAAGTCTCAAAGATTTATGGATATCGGAGTTATTGCCGGATAACAGAAAACTGAGGAAATTTTCACGGGTGAGACATTTTAAATGTGATGGAATGACTTCATTTATATTCTCTTGAAAGCTGCTCCAATTTGTCGGCATGCCTCTAAAAACTGGGACTTATGTTTTGGGTTCCATCCATGCCTCCATGCCTGGTTAATTTTGTTATTGATTGTCTGTATATATTCAGAACAATCTTTACTATGTGTGATCAACATATTATTGAAACCCATTTTATTTGATTCTTTATTTCTCTTCACTTACTGGTATTTATTTATTAATTAATTAATTAATTAATACAGCATCCATTTGATCAGCTGTCAAAGATCACTGGTGGTAATAAAACTGCTAAAAATAAAAGGTTACTGCTGTGGTATTTTGAAGATTTCCTCAAAAAGAAGTATGAAGAATATTTAGAAGCAGTAAAGGTTTGTTTTTTTATAAGCACTACCGGTACAAATTCATGGTATTTTGCAAAGGGAAATCGTTAAACCCTATTTTAATGGCAATTTAGATTATAAAATGTGCAAGATGCATACAATTGAAGTTCATAATTCACAAACTTGTTTGGGTACTCGCAAACATCAGGGTCTGTAGTTGCCATGGGGAAAATTTTTTTTTTGAAGGATTCTTCACCATTGCCAGATAGGGTCATTGTGAATAAATTATTCAAGACTTAATTTTATCTTTCTTTCCAAAAAGAAATTGTAAGTGTATGTCAAAATGATAAATGTGTTCTGTCATATCAAGATGTTATATAATAGAGTAGAGAAATTAGTGAATATTTTGCAATTGTTGAGGTTGTGCTCTCAGTGTGTTATGTGTTACTACCGGTATGTAATAATGTTGATTTCATTTCAGCTGCTATCACATGACACAGTGGCAGCGGTCAAATCAAGTGCTCTCAGTGCCATCTATGAGTTATTGGTGCAGAAACCAGAACAAGAAAAAGTAAGTGTTATCTCAGTGTAGTTATCTGTACTTGAGTTTTCTGTGACATCACTTTTGAATATCTGGCATAATAATGGCTTTCATTTGCATGTTATGCTGTTAAAGGCCCAATTCACTTGCCCCGGGCAAGTGTGAATTCAAGGTGTAACTATGCTAATGAGTGTTGTTAATCACTTGCATAGCCATGTTTACGAAAACCGGTAGTTTATTTACTAGCTGATAACACTAATCTTCGTAAACATCTATAGAGCATGGACCTGAGCTACATACGCATCCCGTAACGACTAAGCTAATAACGCAGTTATTAAGGGACGTGTTACGAAGTGATGTGGCATTGATTCATGCTTATAACAACAACAATAGTCTTCTTCTGAACTGCGGATTTACCACATCATGTCATTTGCCATCCTTGTATCGTTGAATTACGATGCCACTGCGATGAAGACGATGTACGTACGCTTAGAGTGATGTCACACTACGGTCAACAATTTAAAATATATTCGCTTCACGGCCAAGGCTGTTGGAACCGTACCGGCTATGGCCGGACCACTTCTGCGCGTCCCCCCTAGCAGACATGGTCCTTAGGCCCACGTCATCATACGCTTCGGGCCTACGGCCCTCGATAGATGGCCGGACCAACTAATTTTTTTCCTACGGCCTTGACGGCACTCACACTTTCACTCTCATAAATGCTGCTACTGATGCATGGTAATAGCAAAGAAAATAAATTTGAAACGATGCATCATTCCGTGTAATTCCCTTTCTATTGTAAAACATGGCGACACATCGAAAAGTCAAGTTAAGTTCATCGTCTGCTATGCGAGTTCACGTCTGCGATTGAACAATAACTTGACGTTGCATATTTTTATTTTTCTATGGATTATTTTTTTGCACATGGCTTCGAAATCGGTCATTTTCGAGGAGATAGTTGTTGGGTGTCCACTAACTATATCACAGTTACTAAAACCGTGACTATATACTAGTACTTCAAGTTTCTGAGACAAGCCATTTGGGACTATGCGCATACACCATGACACAAAACCGGAACAGAAAATATTGAGGCACCCCGTTAACGGCGAGTAAAATGGAAAGATACCTTTATAGCGACGAGGACACGTGAACCTCAGTAAATATAAACCTAGCAGTAGTATACAGTTGTCCGTCATTAAGATGGACAAACACGGCAGAATAAATCTCTGATTTGATGGCAACATTTTCGTTATTCCCACATCCGCGCCCTGTTTATCCACTCTGATTGGGAGTTGATTGTAGATGGGAATCAGTACGAATTACCACCTGGCGAATTCAACACGAATGCGGGGTTAGATGACAGCGGATTTCTTCCCAACTCTGGCCCTGACTTGGTAATAAAAAGGTACTTCCGAGAAAAGGAATATAATTTCTGTCTTTTGCCAACTTTGCGTTACCACGAATAAGCAAGATTCGTCTCATTAAAACAACTAGGGGTATTTCTGGCTCGTACTCTCTGTGGCAACTTTTTAAATTTGGAAACACGATTGTCATTGCCTTCGTTGAATCCACTATGTGATAATGAGAAACTCATTAGAAACTGTGTAAATGTTTGTGGAGATAAGAAGACGCATCCTGTTTCAGCGGTCCAACATCACGTGACTTTGATTGACAGCAGTTAATTATTCAAGCTTAGTAGCGCATCCCTTTCCCCAGTTCGTGTTTTTGACTTTTATCCGCCATACACTATTTATTGTCATAAATACTACGCACAGTCACTGCTGTGATATTCACAGTCACATACATCCACTTCACAGTCAGCTGGCGCACACGTGATAATAAAATAAATACAATATTTACTATATGGGGGCCGCCATCTTGAATGCAGCATAAAACTAATTAAGAGACACGTTGTGAAACGCGTTTTTCAGATTCCTACAAATAAGGACAAAAATACCGATCTTTCACGGAAATACGATCCATTGGGATAATATTAAGCCAGTTGATAACAAAATTCGGCCGAATTTGTCGTTATTGTGTGGAAAAATCCCTTAAATGTAAACACCTAATTACACGAAGAATATAGAACACTTTCCAGCTCAGCAGCCAATCAGCGACGGCCTTACAGTCAGATGACAATTTCAGTTTTAAAATATCCCAAGAAAGTGTTCTATGTTCTTTGTGTAATTAGGCGTTCGTATGCAAGGGATTTTCCACACAATTTTGTTATCGGTTGGCTTAATATAACCCCAGCAAATCGCATTTTTGTGAAAAACGCGTTTCACAACTTGTCTCTTATTTAGTTTTATGTAAATATCGTATTTATTTTATTATCACGTGTGCGCCAGCTGACTGTAATCCACTTTGACACGACAAAATCTACCTGTGAGTTCAAGAAACCATGTTTTTACCGGAGCTTGGCTGGAGCTGTTCACTACAGCGTGACAAGAAATAATCCCTATTGTTTAGAAGCATATTTATAGTATACCTAGGCCTTTAAACTTGACCAATTGGTTATAGTGTATGATCTGTTACACTGAAGTCTGTAATGTCTGTAACTCATACATTGGTTATAATTTCAAACAGCATGTTATGAATTCTGTGAGCCCATGCAGTGGTGCGAGTCATTACAATTTCTGTTTGATTCATGTGTGAACTCTTCCTGGAATGGAGAGAAGTGCCTGTTTAGCCAATCCAATTGCCTTGTTTGGATTTGAGTGATACTGATTTCAAATGAAACATTTTGTTATAAGTATACCCCACATGCTTTGTTGACTTTAGTGTATCTTTTTTGTAAGTTTGTTTTCTTTCTTGTTCTATAGTACTTACTGTCTCAGCTTGTAAATAAAGTTGGTGATCCAGATTACAAAATAGCTGCCAGGACATCACATTTACTTGGAAAACTTGGTAAGCATTAATATGTATTGCATATGCATATTTCTAATGTCATAGCGCCACCAGTGGCAGATTTTAGAATGGAGGTGATGAAACTTGATATACCGTATGTAATGCTTTTACATTCAAAACTGTCAAGGCCACTCTTTTATAAAAACATTCATGTTTTTATCACTTCCAAATATATTTAAATGTTGTATGTACCATGGTTGAATAAGTCACTTTTCATAAAATAAACACAAACAAATACTTTATATTTTTGTCAATGGTTTGGATTATAGCAAATTATAGAATAATACATAAAAAATGAAGATTTTTCATACTTTTTGAGGTTTTCGTTTCAGGCAATTCCACTCTACAGTTGTGAAATATTTAAAAAGAAAAAAAAAAGCGGTATTGCCAATTATGTAATTAGCATGAAATCTTAAAATAGACAAGCTTATTATAAATGATCAAATTTTAGAGTTTGCTATGAATTCTATACAACTGAGCTAGCATTGAATAATGAACACTGTTCATAGATATCTCGTGATAATATCCACCATGCCCTGATTGTGTCTTGATGTCATCATGATTGTGAAAATCAATTGTTGTTTTAGTGGCAGCACATCCACAGATGAAACTTGTTGTAGCGGAGGAAGTTGAGACGGTATTATACCGTCCGAATATTGGAGTCAAAGCCCAGTAAGTGACTATAATGTGTGTTTGCTATATTTTATTCAACCCTTGGGATATTTTACTATAATAGGGTATGTCTACATCGTGCGTTAAAATTTGCATATAAATTAGCGCGTAACAAAGATTGTGATAAAGGAAAGAGTGGTATAAACAAAGATCAGTGATTACTTGAAATCGATACCAGGAAGGGGGGGGGGGGTAAAAGAAAAGTTATATAACATTTCGTTATTTAATAATTTATTAAAATACATAAGTTTGTCCAACTCCCTGTGCCTGCACTGAAGGTTGCCTGCACTGAAGCCTGCCTGCACTGAAGATTGCAGGCACTGAAGCCTGCCTGCACTGAAGATTGCAGGCACTGAAGCCTGCCTGCACTGAAGATTGCAGGCACTGAAGCCTGCCTGCACTGAAGCCTGCTTGCACTCAAGCTTGCCAGTACAGAAGCCTGCTTGCACTGAAGCTTGCCAGCACTGAAGCCTGCCTGCACAGAAGCCTGCCTGCACAGAAGCCTGCCTGCACAGAAGCCTGCCTGCACAGAAGCCTGCTTGCACTGAAGCTTGCCAGCACTGAAGCTTGCCTGCACTGAAGCCTGCTTTGCAC